TATTTATCTACTTGCAATTTCTTGCTTTCGAACTGCTAGGTTGGCAGGAGCTGGGGCCAGGGACAGGAGCTCACTCCGTCATGTGGCACACTCGGGTCTCGAACGGCTGAACTACCGACCTTCCAGCCTGCAGTTCAGCGTCTTAACCCCTTGAGCCACCGCAGCTCCTCTTATAACCTTAGCTTGTTATTTAGTTCTGACTTTCCATAGCTTAAACATCATCATGTTACATGTTAATTTGCTGTTAAGTACCGGTCTGTAAGTTTGAACTGTTGCCTTCCGTTCCAATGTATTTTTAAAAGTGTGCATGCACAGGAAAGCTTATACCTTGAATAAACCTTTGTTGGTCTTAAAGATACCACTGGACTCTAAATTTGTTCTAACGTTCGGCGCAGGCTATTGTGAGTCATGAAGAAAGGTTAAAACGCTCGGGGATCTTTAGCTTGGAGAAACGACGGCTGAGGGGTGACATGATCGAGGTTTATAAGATTATGCATGGGATAGAGCAGGTCGAGAAAGAAGTGCTTTTCTCCCTTTCTCACAATACGAGAATTTGTGGGCACTCACTGAAATTGCTGAGCGGTTGGGTTAGAACAGATAAATGGAAGGACTTCTTCATCCAAAGAATGATTAACACATGAAATTCATTGCCACAGGAAGTGGTGGCGGCTACAAGCACGGACGGCTTCAAGAGGGAATTAGATAAAGCTATGGAGCAGAGGTCCATCAGTGGCTCTTAGCCACAAGGTCTAGATAGGAACTCTCAGTCTGGGGCAAGGGATGCTCTGTATTCTTGGTGCTTGGGGGGGTGGGCAACAGTGGGAGGGTTTCTAGTGCCCTGGCCCCACTGCTGGACCTCCTGATGGCCCCTGGTATTTTTGGCCACCGTGTGACACAGAGTGTTGGACTGGAGGGGCCATTGGCCTGATCCAACATCAGCTTCTCTTATGTTCTTATGCTGGAAGAAATGTTTGGTCTTTAAGGTGCCATGGGACTTCTGCTTTATTTTGCTGCAGGAGACTAACATGGCTACCCCTTTGGAATTATAGGGCACTGAACGTCTGTTATGAGAAAACCCAATGTGGTTCACTTGTATGAAAGTCATGTAAATTCAGCAGGGTTTTTAAATGTATGTGTAATGTAAGCCAAGACAACAAATTGAGAGTCCAGTGGCACCTTTAAGACCAACAAAGGTTTATTCAAGATATAAGCTTTCCTGTGCATGCACACTTCCTCAGATACATTGGAACGGAAGGCAACAGTTCAAACTTACAGACAGGCTGAACAGCAAATCAGCATGTAATGTGCTGAAGATATTTTAAGATATGCAAAGACAAAACTAAATAAGCCAATGTTATAAGGTCAACAGTTGTTTTGATTTACTTAAGGGGGCAAAACCAGTCAGGCAATAACTAAGTCAAAATAGGAGATAAATGTGTAAGGTATTCTTTCATAGAATCATAGAAGGTTAGAGTTGGAAGGGACCTTGCAGGTCATCTAGTCCAACCCCCAGCACTGTGCAGGAGCATAGCTGAAAGAGAGCCCTACATACCTACAACATACCCGAAAGATGGTTGTCCAGCCTCTGCTTGAAAACGTCCAGCGAAGGAGCATCCACCCCCTCCCAAGGCAGACTGTTCCACTGAGGAACCGCTCCGACCGCCAGGAAGTTTCTCCTGATATTTAGCCAGCATTGACTCCCTTGTCATTTCCACCCATTAGACCTAGTCTTGCAATCCGGAGCAAGAGAGAATAGATCCGCTCCCTCTTCTACATGACAGCCCTTCAGATACTTGAAGACTGCAATCCTGTCCCCTCTAAGCCTTCTCTTTCCCAGGCTAAACAGACCCAACTCTTTCAGCCTTTCCTTGTAAGACTTGGATTCCAGCCCTCTCACCATCCTGGTTGCCCTCTTCTGGACACGCTCGAGCGTGTCAACATCCTTCCTCAAATGTGGTGCCCAAAACTGGACACAGGACTCCAGGTGAGGCCTGACCACGGCAGAATAGAGCAGAACTACCACCTCCCGTGATCTGGACACAAGGCTCCTGTTAATGCATCCTAAGATTGCACTCGCTTTCTTCGCAGCCACATCGCACTGCAGGCTCATGTTTAGCTTGTGATCAACCAGAACACCCAGATCCCTTTCACAGGTGCTGCTGTCAAGCCAAGTCCCTCCCATTCTGTCTCTGTGCCTTTGATTCTTTTTGTACCTAAGTGTAGGACTTTGCACTTCTCTCTATTGAAACTCATTTTATTAGTCTCAGCCCACTGTTCCAGCCTATCTAGATCATTTTGAATCCTGACTCGGTATTCTTCAGAATTAGTCTGTCTTCAGAATTTCTGATGGTGGGAAGTAAACCGCAGTGCTCCATTCAATGCATCACACATGTCGATCCGTTACAAGGCAAAGAACTAAGTACTAGGTAAGCAAGTACCATGAATTGCTGGTGAGCTCTCCATCATCAGAGAATCATGGCACTGATTTCTTGCCGCTCCCCCTCCCCCCCCAACAATCACACACTGCTGCCGGTGCTTTTGACGTGCTTCTTCGTATGTTTACTGGTAGTGGATAAGTCACTACAGTGACCCAACACTATAGCAACATGCCTACCATGGATTACGTGAAACAAACAGGCAGAAGGGCCAGTGGGAGCCAGGGTGTGGGGGTGCCAATAGCAGGCATGATGGGAAAATGCAAAGAATATTTCCCCGGGGAGGAGAGGATCTCTCGCTGCTCCAGACGCCTCTGCATTCACAGCAGCCACGAAAGCGGAACAGAGGACAGTCCGTATGGGGAAGCCACCAGCCACCACACACGGCTGAAAATGCCAGACACAGCCCAGAAATCACCGCCATCAAGACGTTGATTTAAAACCCCAGTCCTCACTGTGTGCCAGACAGAACACA